ACAGGGCCTGTCCCCTCCTGCCCCAGGTTTTTGGTCCCCTCCCGGGGAGCAGGATCTGTCCCTTCCTGCCCTAGGGTCCCTATCCCCTCCCTGGGCATCAGCTCTGTACCCCCTGCACATGGCACCAGGATCTGTTCCCTTCTACCCCACAGTCCCTGTCCCCTCCCAGAGAACAAGACCTGTCTCCTCTTGCCCCACAGTCCCTGTCTCGCTCCAGCCCCAGGTTTCTGGTCTCCTCCCAGGGAATAGAATCTGTCCTTCCTCGCTCCAGGGTCTCTGTCCCCTCTCAGGGAGCAGGATCTGTCCCCTCCTGCCCCATGGTCCCTGTCCCCTCATGTACCAGGCCCCATTGCTTATCCCAGCATGAAAACACCAACTGGCTGCATGTGCCCCCCAGAGCAGTCCCACACCCCGGAGACACGATGGCACAGTGTCACTCCCTGTCCTTCCCCCCTGCACTGTCACTGTCCTGGGTGGGACCTGCTGCCTCCCCTCCAGACATGGTCATGAGGTCAGGGCCCAAGGGACACAGAGGGACACGGAGGGACACACTGCCACACACGGAGCTCTGCCCTGTCAGCCACTGCCTCCAGCCCCGAGGTCACAGCCCCCATCACACTCAGTGTCACCCCTGCACCCCCCTTTCCATCACCTCCCCAGAGCATGGGGACAACTCCAGGGCTCCTTTGCCCGATGCCTGTCCCCTGCATGATTAAGAGGTCTCACACACATTCTCCGTGGGGTCCTGCCCTTCTTACCCTGAGCCCCCTACCCTGGCAGGGCTCCAAATTTTGGCGGCACCTCTGCCGAGGTGTTACCGCTCCTACAGCACAACGGAACCGCCACCGTTTGTGTCCCCTCGCGGAGCAAACCACAGGGCACCTGGGGGGCTCTGATGGGAACTGGGGGTGGGTGGGCAGGAAGCGGTTCAAGGGCTGCAAACACCCACAGCAACACCCCGTCCCCAGCCATCGCAGCGGGGCCGGGGCTCGGAGCACGGCGGCTTCATCCGTGACGAGCAAAGCGGCAGCGCGTGGATGGAGGCGGCGCTTCTGCCGCCCCCGCAGGCAGCCCACGGTACCCGCCTGACTCGGGTGGATCCCTGCTATTTTGGGATGAGCGAAACAGAGAGTCTCACCCCTCCCCAGTGGCCTTCTCCTTATGCCACCCACACTGGGGACAAGAAGGGCCCCCCCAGTGTGGTTTCGTCCCGCAGGGAGGTGACGCCGTGGGGGTGGTGGGCTTTCGCTTTCCACCCGTGGGGTTTTCCCGATGTGTCACCTCTGGAGCAAGCAGGTGACTCACCACCTTCACACCTTCCCCCGGTAAATAACCCCTCCAGGAGGCCACTGAGAACCCCGTGGCTCTGCCCCACAACCTCAGATCCAATCAAACCCCAACCTCTCTGGAAAATCCCCCTCCTCAGCCTCATCTGTCAGGAACCCAGGGCTGGGAATGCCACAACTGCAGTGATTTAGGGTAGAGAAGAGGTTTTGGTGGAGCAGCTCATCCTTGTGGTATCTCTGCCCCCCCAGAGCCAATGGGAATAGGCTGGGATGGGTCTGACTTCAGGCAGCGTGAGGCAGGAAGTGGATCTGTTTTGAAGGGAAAATAAAGGGACTGTAACATCACTGGGATGGAGAGTGGAGCACAGCAGAGTGAAATCCATCTGCGAAAAGGGCATGGAGCTGCTGCTTTGCTTTCTTACCTTAAAAATATACCCTGCATTCCTGCATGGACCATCCTGTTTGGCTCCCCACTGCTCACACCCAGCCCATGGGAAGGATGGTGATTTTCATGTATTTCCCAACATTTTCTTCTCTTTTCGGCAGTGATTTCATCCCAGGGGTCTTCCCTGCTCTCCCACGAGTGAATTCATTCATTGCAAGCTTTCAGCTCCTGCCTACAAACAGGTACTTGGGAAAATTCCAGCAGTAAAACTGCTGCCCAGAAACCCCCTGTGATTCAATCTGGGGCTGGAAGGGAAGGAGGGAAACTCATTTTCATAATATTATGTTGAAAAAGAGAAACTTTCAGTTGCAAACAGACTGTAACTGTGACCAAGCAGTTCTTGCTGGAGGGTTTCCCCTGGGAGCAGAGAGAAGGGGTTGACCAGGCACATGGTCATCATCCCCCACAGCATCCCTGAGGCACTGGTGATGCTTAAGGAGCTGCCAGAGCATCCAGAGGATGGAGCCATCCAAGACAAGCTTTAAAGTCAAACAGGAACAAGCCTACCTCATTTTTATTCTCCTGCTTCATTAGACTGAATGTCTTCTTACTAATTTATTCCCTGCAATCCCAGACCTAAAAATTGCTGGGCTGATGCCTGGTTTCTGGGGTCTCCATCCATCTGGGATGGGGTATCCCACCCTGATGGGATGCATTCTTCAGCCAGGATCATCCCCCATGGATGTTGGAGTGGAAATTCACAGCTCCAAAGGGAAAGCATTTGTGTGTGTAGCTGTGGGGAGGAGGAACACGGCAAAGTGGGAGGAAGGACGATCCCGTGTTTAACTTCCCCCAGCTTCTCCTGGGTCATGTCATTTCTAGTAAACGGCTGGATTTCCCACTTGGCCAGCCCTGATCCACCTCAGCAGTGTAGCATCACCCACATCTTGTCCTCCGTGTCCCAGCGTGGACCACAGAACAGACAGACACCTGTCCAAGGCTGGTTAAGTCCTGAGAACCTTGGGAAAATGGGAGAATAGCCACAGGGCAGCAAATAACCTCTTCAAATAGAGCTGTCACACTGGGAAAACAGGTTGGACAAGGGGTGAAGGCAGCTGGGAGCAAGTGAAGTGGGTGGCACAGTTTCAGGCATCTGATCCAGACATGTGAATTCCCTGGATAGAGCCTTAAATACATTTATCCTCATTTATGGGAGGATGGAAGGTGTGGCCATGATGCAGCAGCACCTCTCCATCCGGCTCTTGTAAATCCAGGGGTGGCTGTTAGGGTGTCCCAATTCCAGGCTCCAGCAGCTCCTTCTGGGGTGGCTCTGTACCCCCATCCCACCAGGAAAAGCTTCCCAGTGGGGTGCTATGGCTAGAGACACCATCTCAACTGAGCCTGTAGTCAGTGCATCCACTGGGTGCTACTGTGGGATTTCTTACCAGCTCTGGCCTCTCATTCAGAGGGATACAGGATTTCCTGGGACTATTGTCCTTCACGGCAAACCCTCCTCCTGGAGCAGCCTCTGGTGAGGCTGGAGGCAGAAATACCCCCCAAAAAAATGATGGTGGGAAAAAACAAAATGCTTGTGGCTTTTGTTTGAGGTGTACAGCTGTTCCCACTCTGCCTGTGCCAGAAGAAGCCCAGAGAAGCTGCTGGAATACCTGACCTTCCTGTGCGTGTCTGCTCCAGTGAAAACACAGATCCCAAAATAACTCCTCAAACAATGTGGCCATAGTTGGGGTGAGGGCGGTGACGTTCCGGCTTTTCCCTCCAGCAGCCCTGAAGCCACAATAAATCCTGGTGCCTGTGTTTGCTCCCGGGTTTTACCTCATTGTATTTAAGGAAACAGCCAGCGGGTGGTGGAAATGCATCCCAGAATAAAACACAGCCCAAAGGCTTCAAGTTTTCCTGCTTTTCTCAGGGAATTTAGCAAAGGGTCCGTGTTTTGTCCTGGCTGTTCCCAGGGAGTGGGGATGGAAACCTGCTAGGGGTGGAGATGCTGCTGCAGCCCCTGTGTGTCTCTGTGAGTCTCCCTATCATCCAGGGATCCCAGGTTGTCCCTGTGGTGCTTGATCCTGTGCTCTCAGCCAGATGGTTTGGGCAACCAAACTGGAATTGTTGCTGCCTGCACCTGGCTTCCAACCCACTCTCAAGGGGCTCAGGATCACCTTCATGTGCTGCTCCCAGCCCTCTTGCCCAGGGTTTTAGTGAGGGAGTTTAGAGCTTTGAATTTCCATTGGCATCAGCGGAGCTGGGAATGCAAACAGCTTGGTGTCCATATACAGCACCCAAAAAATATGTCTGGGTGCTTGGTTCGTCACCGTTCCCGTCCCGGGCGAGCTCCCCACCTCCTCCCATGGCAGAGAGGGGGCTGCCAAAAATCACACTTCTTGTTTTAGCTCTGCTGAAACCCGCTGCCTTTCGGGCTCGTTTCTCCTTCTTTACGTCAAGCTGCCGCATATGCTGCCGGCGCCAGCGGGAAGTTTTCTGCCAAAGGCAGTGCTAAGGAAGAAAGGAGGCAGAGGAGGGTTTCGCTTTCGGCTGCCAACCCCCCCCCCCCCTGCAGATCAGGGACCTGCAAAACCTCCTGCACGTCCTCCAGCCCAGATCCCGGGGGACACAGGTGCCTGTCGGTGCCACTCCTGTGTCCCCATCACCTCCGAGGCTTTGCAGGCACATCGCTGCAAAACGGGGTTGGAGCTCAGGGCCCAGCCACCCATCCCTGAATATTTTCCAGCAGAAACGCTAAGAATAGCACACAGAAAGGCAGTTGGGCATGGATTGGGGTGAAGCCATGACACTCCAAAAGCCCTGCGCCAGGTCTGCCTTTGTGCCGAGGTGCTTTGAAGGAGGATTTGAAAGAGAGAGGGAAGGTATTGTTCTCTCTTGCTTTTGTTGGCACCTTTTAAAAGCTTGAATTCCTGTTCTCTGCTTCCCTCCAGCCCAAGCCTGGCCTTTTTCCCCCTGTAATAAGCTCATTTTTCCCCAAAACCAGCTAAAAAGCAGGAACATCAGAAGCAGAAGGTGATGGGACGGTTACACACCCATCAGGACCACCACTATTTCCATTCCTCATTTTCCATGGGTGCTGCTCACACCCCCTTTTGGATTTTCCAGTGGGAATTTGCCCAACTTCTCACTCCAGAAGGTATCAGCCTGAAGCAGAAGCAGCAAACCCAGGGCTGGTTTGGGGCTACTGCTGGTGGGACATGGAAAAAGGCATGGGGACCCCTCAGTCATGGGGAAGGGGGGGTAGAGGAGACCCTGGTCACCATTGTAGCAGCATCCCTCAAGTCCTGGTGAGAAACACAGCGCTCGCCTGCTCTTTTCCATTCTTTATTCCAACCATCCACTTTGGTTACAGTTCTGAAAGATTTTTTTGGTAGCTGTTGTGGTGTTTTTTCCAACTCCTCTAATCTGAACCCACCTTCGGCAATATTATAAAACTCTACAAGTACAGTAACGACCAGTTAACAATAAATAGGTATTTGTTAGTTCACGAAGTTAAAGTGCTTTGAGAAGGGATGTAAGAAGCTCTATCCTAGATTCCAGGGGGAGAATACCTTGGAAATGTAGTGCAGTAGGAAGCTCTGGCCCGTTGTCCGTAGTCTGTGGTCACGAGAGGCACGTGGCACCTCCCCCTTGCCCAAAAGACTCCCCGGGCACTCCTGAGTGAGCAGGCACGAAGCAGGAGCTGTGCTGCTGCGACAGGTTATTGGAAGCATAAGACAGGATGCCCTCACCCTTACACAGCCCGAGGCTGGGGTGTTTCAGACTGGGAAAGGTTTGGACAAGGTGTGGGATCACCCTCTGCAGGGAGAGAATCCCGTTTTTCACAGTTTAGTCTTGCTCGGAGACCTCAAAGCCCAAGGGAAGCAAACTCTGGGCCCCCCGTGTCCCCTCGCTGGGGGAAGGGAAGCAGAGCTGCTCTGGGCGGTGGGGACAGGCACAGCCCCCCGAGCCCGGCGGTGTCGCCCTGAGATCCGCAGCCTTTTTCCCTGAGGAAGCCCGGTCCCTCTCCTGGAGGAGTGGTGTGGGGAGCAGGGGTTGCCTGCTGCCCACAGATAAATGCCCTTAGCTGCCTGCAGAGGATTTGTGCGTTTCAAACGTCTTCCCAGGGCCTCCCAGTTTGGTTTGGGCTCTGCTTCCACCTTCCCTTCCAGTGCCCTTCCATCTGTCCTTCCCCACACCCCAAATCTAGTCATTTTCCAAGCCTTTTCCATGCAAACTCGTAACTTTGTACCTGCACTTGCAGGTTTCCAGTGCTAATTCCCGATCTCCCTCCCACATCAAAGCCAGCTGCAAACAAAAAATAATAAACCAAAACCCAAAACCCTTCCAGAGCCCAATTCTCCAGACCAGAAGGGGACTCACAAGTGGCACTGCTTGCCGACCCAAACATTAGCCACTAAAAACTTGGAGGTGTCACTCCCCACTCAGATCAACCAGTTCAGAAGGCCGAGGGCTGGCTCCTCCTCTTCATCACATGCACGTTCCTAAAGTGAGGAGTGGCCGTGCCCTGAGGATCAGTGCATGCACGTCGGCAGAAGTCCCCTGAACAGCATAACAGAGCTGCCAGGGAGAGGCTGTCACTGGTACAGCGAATGTCCCCCACGTGTCCCCAACCCCTGCTCCACCTGGCCCTGCAGTCACATCCTCCCCACCAAGGCTCTTCCACCGAGGCCAAAAATGGAAAAGGTGCTGCCCAGAACCCCTTTGGGGACAATCAAAGATTAATGTCCAAGGAGCGCCTAAGAAAACAGGGATCTCGCTTCAGGAGCGGACAGCAAGTGCAGGAAGAGCAGGACGGTGGGAACACCGTTGTGTTCAGTGGAAGAGCTCCACCAAAGCCACCATCAGGAGCAGCTGCAGCCACGAGCCAAAGGGCATGGTGGCCTGGCCCCTCTGGAACAGGAACCGGAGCTGGTTGACCAGGCGCTCCTTCACCAGCGCCTGCTTGAAGCCGTCCTCCTCCGAGACACAGACGTAGTGGCCGTAGTGGCCGTGGCTGACGTTCTGGATGAAGTGGAAGCAATCCTGCTGAGGGTGGGTGGTGTTGCAGGTCTTGATGAGGCTGTTGTTGTGATACCAGTTGTAGGTGGCATAGTGGGACTCGATGGAGCAGTTGAGGTAATAGCGGGAGAAAGGGACAACTGCGATGTTCTGGTAGTCGTCTGCAGGAAGACACGGAGAAGGAGGGGTTGAGGCAGGATTGTCCAGGAACCAGAGATTCCCCCAAGAGCACCTAGGGAAGACCACCTGGGTCGATGAGGACATGCCCATGGCAGGAGGGGTAGAACTGGATGACCTTTAAGGTCCCTTTCAACCCAAACCATTCCATGATTCTGTGTTACACAGCCATTTAACAACAATGGCCCCTGTCCGGTGAAGCCCACAGGACTTTTCTCCCAGGAAGCAAAGCTTAATCCCTCTCACCTAGCTCAGAAATACACTGTCTCCACTAACTCCAACCTGGTGTCTTGATTTCACTCCCAGTTCCCCAGCAATAAGTAGTAAAACCTTGCACAACCCATCCAAAGACTGGAGAATCAGCCACCTTGCCCCAGCCACCACTGGGGACATTGTCCTATGGCTCAAAAAAACCTTTACATACCTTCCTTAGTAGCCCCATTTTGGCAGTTTCCTTGCCACACATCCAAGTTCAGGTTCTGAAGCACATCCCTAGCAGATGGGAATGGGAATAAGCATTAACAGAACATCAGGGAAGCGGCATTTCAGGGATAGGAAAGGAATCACCCATATGAGATAGAAGGAAGTTTATTACCCAGTATTATTGAGAAAACATCCTCCCCCCCCCATTCCCAATTAGGAGTTTGCTGATGGCAAATGTGAGACCCAGCAGCAAAAAGATGGAGAAGGTGCTGCCCAGGACCCCTCTGGGGACAGCCAGAGGGTTGGGGTTGGGTGCTCAAAACGCCCTCAAGGGAGGGATGGATCCCTGCAGAGAGATCCCAGACTTTTTGGGACAGCACTGACATCCACACTTCCCTGCCTGGAGATGATGGGCTCATCTCTCTCTGTGACAGGAAGATGGCCTCAAAACCACGCATGGCCGTGGTCTGGAACAGGAATACCGAGGCCCTGGGTGTTTCTCCCACGGAAGCAGCGGGTGCAGGCACCACGTACCGGTTCAGGGACACGGACTGGCAGGAGCCATTGGCCCAGCCGCAGTAGGGGTCCCTGGCCAGCAGGCAGCTGTGGCAGTTGTTGCGATACGCCCTGCACATGTCCATGGGGATCTCCAGGACTTTGCTCGTGGAGCCGACATACAGCATGGCCTGCGGGAGGAAAGCAGAGGGGATGGATGATCATCCCGGCACCGTGTCCCAGTGCCACCTGGTGAATGTCTTCAAAAGGATGTGGAGCTGCTGGAGTGAGTCCAGAGGAGGCCACGGAGCTGCTCCAAGGGCTGGAGCCCCTCTGCTCTGGAGCCAGGCTGGGAGAGCTGGGGCTATTGACCGGAGAAGGCTCCAGGGAGACCTTAGAGACCCTTCCAGTGCCTAAAGGGGCTCCAAGAGAGATGGAGAGGGACCTGGGACAAGGGATGGAGGGACAAGACAAGGGAATGGCTTCCCACTGACACAGGGCAGGGTTAGATGGGATATTGAGATGAAAATTCTTCCCTGTGAGGGTGGTGAGGCCCTGGCACAGGTTATCCAGAGAAGCTGTGGCTGCCCCATCCCTGGAAGTGTTCAAGGCCAGGTTGGCCAGGGCTTGGAGCAACCTGGGCTAGTGGAAGGTGTTCCTGACTATGGCAGGTGGGTGGAACCGGATGAGCTTTAAGGTCCCTTCCAACCCAAACCATCCTGTGATTCCATGATTCTACTTCCAGACCCAGGGGCTGGCAGTAATGCATCCATCCCTGCCTTCCCTGCTGCCTGATTTTAAAGTTACAGCACAACCTGCTGTTTTCCTTCCCACAGAACAAGCAGAGACCCACCCTCTTGTGATCCAGGATCATGGACTGGATCGGGTCCTTGTTCGGAAAGACCTGGAGCTCCATGATATTCTGCACCCCATCTGGCAGCTCCACAACCTTGTGGATGGATCCTTTGTCTGGGGAGAAAGAGGGGAGAGCCCTGATGAGACATCCTGAGAGTGGAAGAGATGATGCCAAGAGATTTCAACAGCCTGACTGGATTCCTGACACCAGCCACCCAGAGAGAACGGGAACTTTCCCAAAAGCAGTGTCCTGAGGGAACAGGGCTCAGGAATCCTTGTTGTTCATCCTCTTGCATGGTTTCCCCTTCCCAAATAGTCTTCCCTTCATCCCACCATCAACCAGAGAGAGGTGGAAGATGTGATCCTAGCTCATGCAGGGATCAGGACTCCCCAGGTGTCTCTGTACCCATTCCAGAGAGGGTGGGCATTGCCATGCCAAGCCCTGCATGTGGGATCAAGCTTCCCAGTGGGACTCTGCAAGGCGTTAGCTGCATTTAAACTCAGGCTTTTGGAAAATAAGACCAATCAGAGCATGCGAGGGCCCTAATCCAACCCAGGCCACCCACTGAGAGTTTTTTAATCATAGATTAGGAATAATAAAAAAGTCCCTCCACAAGTGCCAGTGAACAGATTCCAGCACAGAGCAGAGAAAGGGATGAGCACAGCTCAGGCAGGTAAAGCAGCCAGGACAGGGAAGCACTGGGAAATGATGGAGCAGGTCCTTTTGGAAAGGATTTCTGCTTGTAAAGCCACACCTGGGGAGAGCTGTGCTACCCCTCTCTTGCCTTAAAAACACTGGCCCTGAGACCTCCCACAGGTTGAGGCTCAACAGGGTAAATCCCACATGCTTGGGATTCTGTTTTGATTCCGGCTTTGCCTACGCAGCCAAATTGGAAGTATTTAGTAGTACTTGGGACTTGGCAGCTCTTTTCCGCTTGACAAACATATGCCAAGCTGGGAACACAGCCCCTTGTTCGCTCTGCAGTGAGGGTCTCGTCTGCTTCCCCTGGGCTCCCTACCCTCGAGGGGAAAGCTAATTCCAGGGATCTCTGCAGGGAGCGGTTCCCAGTACCTGTTGCCAGATAAAGCACATTGTAGCGGTGTCCGTCAGCCGCAGAGACCTCGTGCACCCCGATCTTCTGGTAGCGGTGCTTGTTGTGGAATAAGGGGCTCTTGGTGGGGGAGAGGGGCTCCACCCGGTCCTCCACCTCGGGGTGGCTGTCGGCGATCTTGAAGGTCTCACTGGGGGTGTGCTGTCCCGAGGGAACACACTGCAGCAGGAGGGCACAAAAGCCACTGTCAGAGCCAGACAGGTGCCTGGGGATGAGGGTGGAGGGCAGGAGAGCTTGGCAGGGGAACAGCATGGACACCTCAGCCCAGAAGAGATGCCCAGGCGTGGTGCACAGCCCTGCACTGGGGGCAAACACAGACCTTGGGGGTGCTGCAATTGTGCTTGTGCCAGGTGCATGTAAGAGCCTGTCTCCCCATGCTTTCTGTGAAGGCATTGGACCTTCTCCGGCCTCCTTTTTTTTCCAGCAACAAGGTTCAGCTCCTTCCCCCAGTGCCTACAACCACCCTCTCTGCCCAGGTCTCACCCGGCTGCTCCGTGTCCCCTCACCTGCTCCAGGTACCCTGAGAACTGCAGTGGGACTGCAGGGATTAGTTCTCCTGGCCTTGGGACCCCTCTCCACTTCACGGGGAGCAGCTCACTCACCTGCCCAGGTTTGATCTCCGGGTTGGGACCGTTATAGCCTTTGAGTTTAGATGTCCGGAACACGTTGTCGATGTCCCCAAAGGAATAGACACAGACAGCAGAGCTTCCCCTGAGGGCAGCGAGACAAAGAGGGGGTCAGGGAGATGCTGGTCACCACCCCTACAGCTGGGACACAGCTGTGTTCATCACCACATCCACTCCGTCTGTTTCCCAGAGACACTAAAGGGCTGGAAGGAAGGATGCCCTTTGGCCCATGGGACAGGGCATCCCCCTCCTTGTTTTGCAGAGACCCTCACCAGGTGTTTGTGAAGAGCCCATAGACTTTGGAGAGCCGCCAGTCGCTCGCGGGGACAAAGAAGACATCCTGCAACCAGTTGAAGTTGCCCTTTGTGACTGGGTCAACACAAATCAAGCTGGCCTTCAGGAAGGTAGTCCACTTGGAAGCAGAGAGGGAACTGGTTCCTCCTTTATCTTCCTGGGGGAGAGGGAAAGCAGGGAGTCAGGGTTTGGCAGAGAACACCACAAAGTCCCCAGCTTGGGAGGGATAAGCCCCCCAACATCTTGGATGGATAACTGAGGGATGCTCCAGAGGTATGTCTGATGCTGGTTACAGCAACAATCGTGTTCCTCTAACATCCCAGCAAGACAGGGCAGGTATTTCTCTTCCCTACAAGCAAGATGGGAGCCAGAGGAGGGGAAGGCCAAAGGACGTGGCTGTACCCCACACAAACTCTGTGGCAGAGGAGACGTTTGAGGCAGAGGGGCCAAATGAAGCGTGGATAACCCCAGGTGAGCCACCATGTCCATTTGTCACCCCTGGAGCACTCCTGCCTCCCCACCACACATGGTTCCCGTGGTACCTTACACAGCTGGGCCACGCGGGAGATGTTTCTGGGGGCCTCAGGACTCTTATCCGGGTTGTCTTCACGGAAGAAGTAATAAATCTTGTCCTGGTGAGGCTCTTCGTGCCTTAACACGGTGGCTTTGACAAACTGAGGGTCTGAAAAGGGAAGTGAGCCATCAGAAAACCGTGGCTTGAGCACACAGACTTCATCTGAAAAGCCACTGATGGGGACAAAGCAGCATGTTCTGCAGCCAACCACCCACCTGCAGCCGAGGGAGGGAATGGAACACATCTGTGCTCCAGGGAAAGGACAGGTCTGAGACCATCTGCTGTGCCTGACCTGTGCATTGCACCAACTGTGCTTCACCTGACACCTTCCCAGTGGCTCCCCTTCCTCTCCCTCCTGCCCAACATCCCAGACTCATTCCCTTGAGGGCCAAATCCACAGAACCTGGTGAAGCCTTGGCTGTTTAGCAGCAAAGGAAACCCGTCTCCCTTCTTGCTCAGGGAGGTGTTATTGGGGAGAAAGGATCCCTCAGCGCTGTTTGTGTTTGGAAAACCCAGTGATGCTGTTCCTATTAATACACCTCTACCATGATGGGCATCCCCGGCAGCATCAGGTCCCTCTGGGCATCGTTAGCTGCTGCTCCCATGGCAGGGAGCTCTGTGTCAGCACGGGATCAGCCTGGCAGCTCTGGGGCTCCCAGGTTTGGTTTGGCTTCCCCCTCCATGCACAAGTTCTGTTTTATTCTGTTGTCATCTTGATTTAATTTTTCATTTTGCCAGAGGTTCGATAGTCTCCCATTTCCTGGTGTCGATGGGGAGACAACATAACAAACTCATGGAAATGGAGGAGGGTCCTTACCCTCTACCCCCACTCTGTCCCCTGCTTAACCCAACGTGAATCTGCCTCAGGGTCTCACCCTGGGCAGGGGTTTTGGAAAGAGTCACTGCCCGGAGTGGAAGTTGTTCTTCCCGTTTCCACCACCGCAGGGCAGCTGATGGGCACTTTTACACAACCCTATTTCCTCCTATCTGAGAAGGGACTTGCCACCCTCATTTCCCCATTACCCTGAGGAACAGGAACTCACTTATCAGGTGTTTTGTGACAGAAGCAAAGAGGTGAAATTCCCTCAGCTGGCACTGAGGGGACCAGATCAGCCCTCCCTGCAACTTCAGGGGTGACTGAAGACCCCAAAGAACAAGCCCTGGAGCTCCACTCCAGCTGGGCAGAGAGGATGTCCCCCTCCAAGCTGTGGTCTGACAGAGTCCAACTTATCAACCTGGTGGGCTTCCACACCTTGGGAATCTCCCCCACACTCACTCTGCATCACTGTGTCGCTTGTGTAGAGCTCTCCACCCCCTCTCACTCGACGGAAACGAGGGATCTTGCCATTCTGCTGGCTCTTCTTGATGGTGGAGTAGATGTCATCACCTGCGGGATAGGAAGGCTCATTTGCAGCAGGATGTTTCCAGAGGGGACAAGAAGGATTTGTAAGAAGAGAGGAAAAGAATGAAACAAGAACTTTTGGGCACATGAACTCACAGAGATGGTGGACACAGGTCAAGAAACTCAGTCTTCACTGCTTAGGACTGAGCAGGTCTGGCAGGACTCCTTAAAGAGTGGCAGGGACAGATTCTTGGGAAGGATCCCCTTTCCAGGTCCAGAGCAGTGGGATTATTGCAGGATTTTCCTTCTAAGGACCCTTCCAACCCAGACCATTCTATGATCCTGTGATTCCCCACTGTTCTCATTGCATTTGACCCTCCCACACAGACACTCGATCCCATGCCCTGGATGGAAAAAAACAACCTTGTGCCATGCTCTGTCCTAAAAGGATGTGCATTTCCATGAGGCAAAAGCAAGAAGCGCTAAGGCCAACTAGAGCAGGGGACAAAGGCCTTGGAGCAGCCTCAGGGGCCCCTTTTTGTCACAGAAAGCCTTTTGTGCACAGCATGACAACTGAAAAATAGGAAAATATGAAAATATCAGACTTACCATCAACGACGACGAGGGTGTTGGAGTCAGGGGTGAAAGGAGCAATTCCTCTCCCATCCCACGATGAGCTCTCCTTCCTCTGCGTCTGGAGAAGGATGGAAATGGACCTAAGTGGGATCAGGTGCCTACATCCACCCCTGGGGCAAGAGGAAAGTGGTTTTCCTTGCCTGGCACAGCTCAAATGAGGGAAGGACTCATACCAGGTTCCAGCAGGTGGGAGCGCAGGCACCGGTCCCACACACCAACATCCCGTCTCCGTACTTCTCCACTAGTGTGAGGTAATTCTTATTGTCCTCCTGCAAGAGAAGGGAGAGGAGCATGAGCAGCTGTGAACAGCAGGGCAAAGCCCCCAGAACTAACAAACACACTGCTAGATGGCTTCCCAGCTTTTTCATGCATCTTACAGCTAGAGGAGGAGGAGGTCCTCACTCAGAGAGAGCACATGAGGAGCACACACAGCTCCTTCCCCAGCAGTCCTTCAACCCAAGTCCTTCAACCCTCACCCATCCAGCAGTTCTGCCACAGGTAGGACCTACCAAACTCCCAGACATCATGCACAGTCCCTCATTTTTCACTGAGAAGTCTTCCTAGGATAAAAGAGAGAGAAAAATGCTATTAATTCCTTCCCTCTAAAGGCCAACCCACATGGGCTCAGCCCCATGCACTACAAGAAGGTCATTAAACACTGCACTGTGTCCCTTTTCCCTACCCTTGGCATTTGAAAACCCCCAGGAAGGCTGGGTTGGGTCCCTCAGGCCCTCGAGGTGATGAGGAGAAGTGGGGATGCAGGGCTAAAGTGGCAGGAATGACTGAGCTGCTTCCCAGATGATCTGGGAAGAGGATTTGCCACTGTGGGGAAAAGGCGTTCAATAGTGGCTGGTGCAGACATGAACCACGGTGTTCTGGGAACACGAAAGGAAAAGAGAAAGACAAGAAGGGGTCAGAAGAAAGCCAATGGGGGTTTTCCTGCTCTATTAACTCAGTGCCCAGCTCAGAGCTTCCTGCTTTTGAGAAAAGGCAGCCTGGACTCCGACAATTGAAAAGAATGGGAACGTCCCCAGTGACGCCAGTCTAAGCACCACTTCTCATACTAAAGAAACAGTTCTTTACTGAAAAAATCCTTCCTGTGGGGCAGTAAAGACCTCAGAAGAATCACATCCAGGGAAGAACCCACCAATGGGTAGCATAGGAGACTTTCCCATTGCTCCAGCTATTCCTTACACTGATATTGTGGCTTCCTGGTTGGATCAGGCAGGCTGGGCAGAGACCAGGCTCTTCCAGGCCTGACTTTATAGAGTACCTGGAGTTTGGGCTGTGAGACAGATGCTGGACACTTTTTATAGGGCTCTGGGGCCCAATGTGTTAGCAGAACATTCTTACCGTGTAGTTCTCAGAGGTTGCAAAGTCGTAGTAGTAAAGCTTCCCCTCTCCCCCGATGTAGATGGATGAGCTGTTTTCCTCATGGTAGAAGACTGGGTACTTCTCACTCCTGGGAAATACATATTCCTTTGCACCTAGGAACAGTACACTCATCAGGGAAACCACTGCAGAGAGCACACATGGCCAGCTCGGCTGATCCACTCCCTTCCCGTGCCCTTGGAGTGATGAGAAAAACATGGACACAGGGCTGGAGGCCCTCTGGGATGGCTGGCCCAGAGCCAGGCAGGCAGGGAAAGGCAGCTCCCAGGCTCAGAGTGGAGCTATTGTCCCTTGGGCCCCAGGGGACAGGAGAGCTCCACATAGGAGTGACCCCACCTGGCCTGTGATGGAGGAATAGGAAGGGGAATTGCTGGAGGAGCTGTGGTAGGAGAGTGGGAGCTCAAAGAGACTCAGACCTGGCTCTGCAGCAGCCAGGTAAGCACTGCCTTCCACTGTCCGAGTGCCTCCTGCCTCCCAGCTTTGGGATGAAGGGCTCCATCCCCTCTCTGACCACCACTCCAGGCATCTGCCTGATAGATTTGGCTTCTGCAGCCTCCTGCACTTTATCACCCCCCTCCCTGCCCTGTCAGCATCCTACTTCCCAGGAGGGTCAGACAGGGTTTGGAACTCCCCAGGCCAGAGCCCAGGTGTGGGAGGGGAAAGATGCACCTAAACGCCACAACTGATGGGCTTCACAAGAAGTGGCTGCAAGACCTTGGACATCACAACTGGTTGCTGAAGATGGGCGGCTTTCCGTGCCCAGCTGGAAGAAGAACTGCCTGTCCTCTCTTCTTTCCTTCCTCTTTCACATTCTGGCTTTTCCGGCTCCTCTTTCCTACAAGCATCCTCCCTTCCCCTCTGTCCAGCCCAGGTGCAGGAGGTTGGCCCTGCACTGCAGGTGTGATTCTCCTCCCCTGGGGCTTCTGCTGTCCCTCCTGCAGCCTTTTCTGGGGAGGTGCAGCCACATCTGGGCCCCTTTTAGTGGGTGTGCCAGGGCCCAGACTGCCACAGTGGGCAGCTATGACACCAGAGGGATTGCTCCTCCAAGGGGGAAAAGGCTCCAAGGATCAGGATGAACCTCTGCTTAGGAACTCTATTTTCATCATTCCCTCTTCTCCCTTTTCCAGAGAAGGGGCCCCTCTCCTGGCAAGTGCTGCCGCTCCCAGCACACAGACAAAGGCTGGGGCTGCCTCGGGAGTGGGCGGCCTGCACAGACAGGCAATTAATCAGTGGCACGTGTCCCTCTATTTATAGGGGTTGTCACTTGGCAGGACAGGGAAAGGCCAATCTTTGCCCAGTCCAACACTCCCCTTTGCCCGGAGCAAGCAGCGCAGGGGGCCCGTGGCCAAGGCTCTGCAGAGCCAAAAAGGGAAAGAGACTTAATAGAGGTCGCTGGGACTGCTGAATTCCTGCTTGACTTGTGGGTTTATTCTCCACTTTGCTCCCTGGTTGCACCTTCTCCAGGTCTCTAATCCCTGCAGGGTTAAACGAGCAATGCTTTCCCATCAGGGCTTGGGTAACCTGCCAAAAACCCACAGGTCCTGTTTTGCAAGGGCATTTCAACTGCAAAGAGAGGGCGGAGATGTGCCTTGGACAGAAACTATATGCAACACCTCTGTGTGCCCTTCCCCTGCTCCATGGGATGGAGCCCACTGGGACCCTCAGCCAGGTAAGCCCAGCTGGATGATGGTCCCTGCTTGCCCCGTATCCCCTCATCAGCCTTCCTGTGCCTCTGCTCTGCTCAAGGACTCAGAGAAACTCCTGAGCATGTGCTGTGCCTTGTGGAGAAGCTGGCATGGAGTCTTTCAGAGTGATTCTGCAACTCATCTGCCCTCCAAGTGGGAAGCCAGCCAGGCCTGCCATCAGCCACAGACTCAGTCTAAGCTTGCCTAGGAGGGGACTAATCCCCTTTACACCTTCTCCCTTCCCAGAAGTCCTCAAAAACCCCACTCTTGGCCCAATCTGTGGAGGCCAGGCACACAGGAACCCCTAAAGCCCTTTTACCCCATCGCCAACACGCTGCAAGCAGGTCTGGCCCGACTGCAGCAAATTTTACTCTTGTTTTCAAACCTCCAGCCCCTAAATTTGCTGCTCATCCAGACAAACATACATCTGCAGCCATTCCCCGCTCCTCCTCCTCCTCACACTTTTTACACACTTCAGCCCTGTGCTTCCACTACCTTTGGGTTCCTTTGGAGGCTTTTTCCAACACTGCCTCAGCTCAGCGAGCTGTGCCAACCTGCAAGGACACACTCCTCTCCAAAGAGCTGAAAACAAACAAGCCCTAAACAATAATTTGGTCGGCACCAACGTGTTATTTATCCTGCAGCTCCCCAGGGACTGCTCTGAATCACTAAGCTGAGAGTAAACAGCTCTGCTAGCCAGGGCCCACAAGTGTGGTTGTGGTTCCAGCACTGATTTAACTGGATTTGGAAGGGAGCCTTTAAGGGGGCTTCCAGGAGTGGATGCTGGGATCCCTCTACCTCTGTGGCAGACCTGCACAGCTCAGATTATAGAAGCTGTTTGATCCCTTGTCTTTGCTTCTCCTCTGGCAGGATGGGGGGAGAAATCCTGCACCCCTGTGTCATTACATGGGGGTATAAATGGCTTCCAGAGCTGGGAATGATGAGGCAAAGGGTATCTAATGGCCCACACTATCACAGAATCATGGAATCATAGAATGGTTTGGGTTGGAAGGAGCCTTAAAGATCATCTAGCTCCAAACTCCTGCCACGCGCAGGGACACCTTCCACTCGACCAGGTTGCTCAGAACTCCATCCAGTCTGGCCTTGAACACCTCCAGGGATGGGGCAATGTCCTGCTATGTTCCCAATGGGACATGCTTTTCCCTGCAATGCCAAAGCTGCTTTAGACACTGTGAAGAAAGGCTCTTCCCCTTGGAAGGGGGAAGGCATGACCCTGCCATCACCCTCCCTCCAAAATCCGAGTCCGGAGCTCCAGAAGACACAGGGCTCATTTCCAGAGCCTCGCTAACTCTGCCAAGTCCCTTTGCCCGAGTGCTTTTGCCTGGCATTTACTGCCAACCTCATGGATAGCACACAGATCAATGGCACCATTGTGCATTGAAATGCTAACCCCAGTCCAGCGGGATGAATGGGAGAAAGAGCGGCTTTGTGCTGGGGAGAGCACCACACCAGAGGCAAGGAGAAGAATAATATTAAATGAGGGAGAAAGAAGGAGCCCGGTGCATCTCGGAAGGATGCCTGCAGGGTGAGGTAAGGGGGGAGGAAGGAAGTGAAGAGGGAGATGCTCTAGATGAGCTGAGGGCAGGGAGGCCCACCCTAAACACAGGACAATGCAGATGACAGACGGAGCAATCCTGCTTCCAATCTGACAGAGTGACACGGACACAGCTTTAGTGACACAGCAAATGGCTCTCTGGCTCCCTTTGGGTCCAGAAGCCCCTTCAGAAGGCACCAAGAGCCTGGTCCTTCCCAGCACCACAGCAAGGTTGGGCTCCCAGAGCATCCCAGAGCTTTGTGCTCCCACCTCCAGAACAGATGCCCAGCCAGAGAGGCAGCGTTGGCACGCAGCCTCATCGCAGGCAAACTCAACAAGACAGCTCCCATCCCGGCTGGAGGGCTGACTCAGCTATGGCTGTCCTTTTCCCCTTCACACTCCACCATTCCCGGTCTGGCAGCTGGCTCCGGCATCCCAGACACTCAGCTTAGTCACTGGCTTACAATGCTATCAGCACTGATAGTGGGTGAGCCATTGCGGGCCTGCAGGTGCTGGGGGAGGAAAAATGAAAGGGGAAGGAGGATGAGATAAGCACTTGCTGGTTTTGGGGAGCGGTGCTGATGGAGGGAAGAGGCAAATCCTTTACTTGCTGCCTATAAACCCCTTATTAAATGGGACCCACCCAGCATTATGAGGGAAAGCATACTCTGGGAAAGCAGAGTATGGGGTTTACCTGCTCCCTGGAACCACCTGCTGCCCACTGCAGCCCCTGTGCTGCCCTTACCCAAGCTGCCCCTGTTCTCCCAAACTCTCCGGCCGCTGCCACAGGACAGGGACACAGGGCTGGGCCACCACCAAATGGCAAATCAGGATTTACGCTGGTGCGGCGCCGCTGCAGTGAACGCAGCCAAGTCTTCTCCACGTTCCCGCCGCCCAGGCAGCGCACCCGGCAGCCCCGGGGATTCTCGCTGTAACACGTTGTAACGCCGTCAGTCATCGCGGCCACCTGCTCCGCTGCCGCGGGCCTGACAGCGAGCACGCTCCTGCTCACATCCCTTCCCTCTCCAACCATTTCCCAGGTTTTACGTATTCCTTCCTTTTTGAATAGCTGCGACAGATTTCGACCTCGATAACAGCATGACTCTGCGGCAATCCGGCTGGGATCGGCTCTGGCAGCAGAAGGAAAAGCTGCCTTTTCCGTGCTGACTCAAGGACTGGCAGTGTGGGGGTGTCCCTGGATCTCATTCCCACGCCTGTGCCCTCAGCTCCCAGCAATGCAGGGCTGGCTGTGAGTCAGGGCTGTGTGCTCCGGGCTGCTCCACATCATTCCGTCTTTGGGAAGACAGGAGCCGTCTCGATGCAATGACATCAATCCCTCCTTCACTCCCACTTCCCCGGCGCAGGCAGGATGTATGACAAGCATCCCAGCACAGGCAGATCAATCATTTTCCTGGGAATGTGATTCAGGTCCACTGCCTTAGTCACCCACTTTGGGGCCAGGACTCTCCATCCCAGCTCCAACATCACTCAGCAATGGCATTTTGGTTACAGTATTCCCTCAGGCAAGACCAGGAGGACAATCCCTGGATTTCCGACCTGCTTGGCCAGATACCAGCCCTACCATCTTCTCTAAGGAGAACGTGGAAAATCACAGCACCCATCCCAGAGGGATGGAGTCACCCCATGGGGCTGCCATAGATTCCCTCCATCCCTGGGAGCAGGACTGGACTGCACCACACCACTCCCATCCAGGAGCCACGTGCCATCTGCCTCCCCAGCTCCACCACGGATGCCAACAAGCACTTTTTTTTTTTTTAGATGATCTATAAATTCCCAAATTTAGACATTTCGGAAAGAGGAAATATATCTCCGGAGAGTTGCTGTGCTAGGTTTT